CCCAGAATTGGGCATGCAAAACTCTATTCTTAAATGTAATTGTAGAATTTATATTTCCTGTTTTGTGGTTGTATATTTTCAATCATTGAGAACTCAGGAAAGATAATGGAAGAAAATAAACCATGCCTCTTATTCTTGAAATGAATGCTCTCATCTTCCTACCACCTTCAACTTTTTGGATTCATGGAAGTGTTATACAGTGTATTACAAATAAGTAGTACAGATGAAGGGTAGAAAGTTTAATTTGGAATAGCATTATGCTTTAATAAAATCTCATTTATCCTAAATATATTTACTTAATGTTTCCAGCCATCTCTAGTTCACCCAAAAAACAAGTATGTTTCCAGGAAGCATTTATTCATAAAGGAGCCTCTCAGACTCAGATTTCATTTACTCCTATTTCAACAGGCACTGGGGTTTCCTAGCTATGACAATTGATTAGAAGTAACAAATCTAGGACAATACCAAGCAGCGCTGTTACAGATAGAAGGGCTGACTTTTGGTATAAAGCGCTTAGTGGTAAAGAAAAAGCAAACCTAAAAGACAATTTAAGAGTTGTTTTGCAATCCTTATCTTTAGTGCACTCCAAGAGTAGTACTCATGATCATCAGCTGATTAAATCACAGTACTGTAATTGATCAGAATGATAATCCTGAGTATTTCTTTTGAAAGTAAATTATGCTAGATAGACTCTAATGAGATGGGTTTTCATTTACAAAAGAAGGCAAATTATGCTGGATAAATGCATGAAGCATTATCATACTCAGTTGGGTACAATATGTCCTTATCTTTTAACTTTACAAAGGGCTCCTTTATTTTTTTATTTATTTATTTTTTTATTTTTATTTTTTAAATATATTTTATTGATTTTTTACAGAGAGGAAAGGAGAGAGATAGAGAGTTAGGAACATCGATGAGAGAGAAACATCGATCAGCTGCCTCCTGCACATCTCCTACTGGGGATGTGCCCGCAACCCAGGTACATGCCCTTGACCGGAATCGAACCTGGGACCTTTCAGTCCGCAGGCCGACGCTCTATCCACTGAGCCAAACCGGTTTTGGCACAAAGGGCTCCTTTAAAGAAGTTTTGCTATTGTTGAAGTTCACAGTTTGGCCTATCAGTGCTGCAGATGACTCAAAAGTGTATCTTGGACTGGGGAGAAGAAAACCCCTACATCTCCTTGCTGCTGGATTTTGCAATTAGCTTGCAGAATGATTCTCCTCAGACTGTGGGGATTGCTCTGTACATCCTATAAATTATTTACGCCCTGATGGTACTAAATGACTACATTAATGGCACCTCTGGCTCCACATGATATCAAGAACCTTAATAATTCATCATTTATTACAGATACATCCCTGTAGGTTAATATGAGTGGGAGCTGAGTTTACAACACTGAGATAAGGCCTTCTCTGAAACTTACTTTCCAAACATTATATCCATAAATATTTAGTCGTATTTAAAAATAAGGGAGACTGTTGACTCTTACACAGCTTTAGACTCTTTAGGTGATTTAAAAAATATATATATTAATTATTGATTTCAGAGAGGAAGGGAGGGGGGGGGGGGAGAGAGAGAGAGAGAGTGAGAGAGAGAGAGAGAAAGAAACATCAATGATGAGAATCATTGATTGGTTGCCTTCTGCACGCCCCCTACCAGAGATCGAGCCTATAGTCTGCGTATGTGCCCTTGACCACAATCGAACCTGGGACCCGTCAGTCTGCAGGCTGATGCTCTATCCACTGAGCAAAACCGGCTAGGGCTCTTTAGGTGATGTTTATCAAGCATAGATTACTTCAAGTTTTTTAGTATATTTTAGGGATATGTCAAAGGGGAAAAAATCTTTGAAAGACAGTTTTCCATTTCAGGACTCTTGCTTTAAAAACAAACAGGCAAACTAGCATTAAATTATCCAAAGTAAATGGAATTAATGATTGGCCACTGGGAAGAATAGTGAGAGACTTTGAAAAAATTACCTAAATTCTTTTCTCTCTTTATTTTTTTCAAAATTATCCAAATTCTTAATCTAAGGGTTTTATATCTGATATTTGAAGTCTTTGAATCAGTCTTCTTCAGCCTTTTGGGAGTACTTTTAAAAAAAGAAATAGGACCCAGTGCACCAAGGTTGCAGGTTTGATCTCTTTCTGGTCAGAGCATATTCAAGAAGCAACCAATGAATGCATGAATAAGCAGAACAACAGATTGATGTTTCTCTCTTTCTCTCTCTCCCCCTCTCCCCCTCCTCCCCCTCCCCCTCCTCCCCTCCCTTTTCGTCTCCCCACTCCTCTCCTTCCCTCTCTCACCCATTTCTCCCTTTCACTTCTCTCAAATCAATCAGTAAATAAAATTTATTAAAAAAAATAGAAAGAAAAAGAAATAGGAAAGGCATGCCATAGAGAGCAGGAGTGTGTTTGTACACTCATATATGCACATGTCATATAATTAAATTCCAGGGTGAAATTTAGCTATAAAAGAAAGTTAATCACGTTTCCAGTGAAGGGTAATAGTGGAGTTGATGTCGAATTTATGTTTACAGTTTTGGAGTGACAACACTTCTTAGTACTATAAATACTGCTTTCAAAAAAGTGATAAAGGTTAATAACATTGACAGTGTTTGTAATCCTAGCACTTCGCACAGTGCCTGGCACATGGGTCAGTACAAGCTTGCATACATACATGATGCTGAAATCACCCCATATAATTCTAGTTAGAAATCTGGTGTTTTGATAAGTTAAACAGCTACACCGATTTATACTAGTTGCTTTCTACGATAATACTATGGGAGTATATCCCTGTTCACTTTTAGTAATTTTTAATTGATGTAATGTGGATTCGTTGCAGAAGGGTCCAGAGAACCTCATTATATGGGGTTCTGACCTATGAAGCATGTATTTTTAAGACAACATTGCTCTGTAGAGGGGCTCCAAAGTGTTTCAGGTTTCCTTTGGGTTCCATTGAAATCCCTTAGGAGTTCATTAAAGAGACTGAGACAATTGCTCTTCCCCCAGTAGAGACTGGACGGTTTTTGCTGATACTAAATTCAAAGTGGTTTATACCATGTTGAGTTTACCAACTTTATACCAAGTTGAGTTTTAATTTGATTGCTTTCTATTTCTGTAATAATGGTTTTCTTTAAAACGGATTATTTAGTCATCCTTGACGTCCAGGTGTCAGTGATGGGTACAGTCAAGAGTTACACTGCCCGGGAGATTAGAGTTTAGAAAGACATTAGAAGCACTGTCATTAAAATGACAGCCCTTAATCTGTAAAAGAAAAAAAATTAAATTTCAGCAAGCATGTGATGTAAAATTAAGTCGTAGTGTGCTAGTCTTCTATACAGATAATATTAGTTCTGTTTACCAGACCAGCCGCCTTGTAGCAGAATATGGAATATCTAACTTAAATTAGAACAGTTGTATTTCTCCTTCAGTTGAAACATTGTAATAAATAAACATCTTTCAATTGTATGAAATTGTGTGTTTGTTGTTTAGTAGCAAATATGATTTGGATCAAGTTTCTGAATATAAGATTTTTATGTGGGACGAATTCATATATTTTTCCCTTATATTTTTAACACTCTTCTCCATTCATGAGTGTTTTTCAGCTGATACCTGGTGCCAGATATCTTGGAATAAAGGTTTTAGAACAGTTGTGGAAAAGTGATGGTTTGATCTAGTCTTAGTTATGTTATGGTGTAAGTTAAGCTCTTAAATGAAGATGACTGTTTTTATAGATGGGCAGACATGAATCTAGCGGAGAACAAATTATTCCGTGATAAAGACATTGTTCAAACCTGCATGCATCTGTCAACTGCCTGGGTGGCAGAGCGAGATAAAGTGATCTGTAATGTTTCTCTGGTGTGCCGCTATTACTAGCCATATTGTAATATGTAATGAATCTCTTGGGCAGACAGCTTGTGTGGGCTGGATTCCACCTCAGTCTTGTAAAGATGCCTGGAAGCATCAAGGCGAATTTTTTAAAGCCTATTTAAATATTTAGACTAATGGCTAATTTTAGTGAAATCTCTGATATATTTAATAAACTATTTGCTAGAAGTGAGATTTCAAGTTTATGGCTTCCTCACTTATCTGCTGTGTGACCTTGGATTGACAAATTATTAATCTCTGCCCATTCTGTACCAGGAAGGGAAGATTATAAGAGTATTTGCCTCATAAAGTTGTTGTGTGGAATTAGGCAGTTCATACGTATAAAGTGTATGGAAGAGTGAGTGTCTGGCACTTAAACATTAGCTGCCGCCACTGCCATCATCATCTACATAATTGGGAGTGAGATAAATTTACCTTCCCTGAAGCTAGATTTTTTTGTTTTGTTTTGTTTTTGTTTTTTTTAGTATATGTGCTGCCGAAGCGAGCACATTGTTGTTGTTTTTTTTTTTTAAAGGAAGACCACATCTCTATCAGGGATGTGGTCAACCCCAATTCTAATATAGAAGCTCACTGTCTTGACTTGTGAAGTCTACAAGTTTATCTTCAGCTGAAGTGTGATATAGTATAGTACAGTGTTATATATTATACTATATATTATGTAAATATTACTTTAAAAAGTACATATTATATTACTTTAAAAAGTATATATTTATTTCAAAAGTAAAGTATATTATAATAAAGTATACTATCGCTAAAATGGATGAAGAAATTTATAACATTCTGTGAAATGATCTACAAAATGTATTGTTAAGAGAAAAGAGCAAGGGCAAAGTAGGGTGCAAATTATTCTACCACTTATGTAAAAATTTTCTGATACATGCATAAATGTCCGTCAGGTTACACAGAAATGTGATATTTTCATTTGTTGATGATGGGGAGGGAAATTGGATGGCTGGAGACAAGGTAAATTTTTATTCATCCTTTATAAACATTCTTTTTGTCTTTCCTACTCAAATTTACATTTGATAGGGCTTTTAGATTCCTATTTTAGTTTTTTTCTTTAAGTCTGCTTTCCAACACTAACTTAAGAATATTTTTTTGTCCTCTATTAGGGATTTGAGTCATAATCGGTTGTCTAACTGGAACATCAGCTTGGAATCTCAGACATTACAAGAAGTGTAAGTTATTTTACTTAAATTTACATTAAATTCGAGGTGATTTAGAAATGCTGTCAAAAATTTGAAGGAAAAACATTTACATTAAAAGACATTGTTTAAAAATATAAACTGACATCTTTAGCTTTATTGTCACAAACTCTCGGCATTGTGCCATTGGGTTGGGTAGGCATCACCAACCCTAAATTGCAAACTGTAGAAACAGTCTTCCTTGGGGCCAAAAGTAAGATTTTTCCTCTTTTGAGAGTAAATATGCTGGGTTTGTTTTTTGCCATTAAAACTCTCTGTTGTATAAACTCTTTTTTATGTCTTTTTTGTCTTGTTTTGTTTTAATAGTTTATTGATTTTTAGAGAGAGAGGAAGGGAGAGAGAGAAACATCAATGTGAGAGCGGAACATTGATCGGCTGCCTCCTGCATGCCCCTACTGAGGATTGAGCCTACCATCCGGGCATGTGCCCTGACTTGGAATCGAACTAGCAACCGTTTGGTGCATGGGATCACGTGCTATCAATTGAGCCACCCCTACCAGGGCTTTTTTTTTTTTTTGTCTTGACTCATCTAAAATGGGAGCATCATGTCTAAAGTAGATTGACGTGAAATATAATACTGTTGGTATCATTTGGAATGTGATTGTTAATAATTCAACTTTCCACTTTACTGAAGTGCTTCCTTTAATACTGAGATGTATTATTATGTATTCTTTGGAGGAAATTTTCTAAAATAGGTATTATTAATATCAGTTATTGCATTGTAATGTTCCCAGCCGCACAAGTATCAAGCCTATTGTACCTTTACCTTAAACACCCCTAGAACCCTCAGATTTATTTTTCTTTTAGTTTCCTGCTGACAGGGTAAGTTGTGCACTCATTGTTCCTGCGTTCTCTCCTTGCCTGTCTCGAAGTGACTGCTTCTGTTCTGCTGCAGAGTGAATAGACAATTGATAGGCTTATTAGCTGAGAGCAGCACTGAGGAAAGATGTGAAAAGGCTTCAGTAGGAAGCGCATGAGCTTTCGTTACATGGGCTTTGTAACTTCAGTGGGTTCTTTGGAGGCCTTTTACTTCAGGTTTTTTCCTGTATTTTTATTGTTGAGGTTGTTCATTGATTGGAAACTAGGTTAATGGGATGTGATTATATTAGATTTTCTACAAAAACATTTGAGACGATCTGTTCTAAAGAGCTGCTGGGATCAGATGGTGACATGTCATGCCATCTGTAAAATTTAATCACAGTCTCTCTCTCTCTCTGGGTTGGTTAATTTCCTCTTTCTCAAGCAATTCTCCCTACTTAGAATAACTTTAAAATATATATGTATTTTTTTCATATATGTGCATGTGTTTGTATTTTTTAAATTTATAATTCCATCATAAATATATAAAATGGATATGGCTGTGTTAATTATTCTTTCTTTGTTTAAGAAGGACCCAGATCAGCTGTCATAAACATAACTATTCAAAGACTCTTGGTGGGATTAAAAATATTTAATGTGCAAAAGATTTCCTAACCTTTTAAATACTGAGATCAGTCATAGATATATACCATGAAAAAGCATTTCTTATTAAAACCTCTAATTTCTCAGTATAAGACATTTAGTCTAACTCATTCTGAGTCATACAGGCTTCCTTCAGATGTGGCACCCATCCTAAAGAATATGTATTAGGCCAGCGGTTCTCAACCTGTGGGTTGCGACCCCTTTGGGGGTTGAATGACCCTTTCACAGGGGTTGCCTAAGTCCATCGGAAAACACATATATAATTACATATTGTTTTTGTGATTAATCACTATGCTTTAATTATGTTCAATTTGTAACAATGAAATTGGGGATCACCACAACATGAGGAACTGTATTTGTGACATTAGGAAGGTTGAGAACCTCTGTATTAGGCAGTAAACCAGAACTGAAGACATAACATTTCTCTCACTAAACTTTGAAATCTTATTTTCCTTCTGACTAGGAAAATGAATTATAATGAACTAACAGAAATCCCATATTTTGGAGAACCAACCTCCAATATTACTGCATTGTCATTGTAAGTAAATAAGATTGCAGATCTTTTACTTAAATTATAAATAGTACACAGATTTTTTTGTTTGTTGGGTTTTTTTTGTGTGTGTTTTTTTTTTGTAAGTACCCTTATTGTTGATCCCAATTATTTAACATTCTTGTGGCCTTTGGTGCATCACTGGCAGTAGCTTCAATATAATCTTTGTTTTGTAGAGTCCATAATATAATCGCAGAAATAAATGCAGAGGAGTTCCAGTTTTACCCTGCTCTCGAGAGTTTAGATCTCAGTTCAAACATAATATCAGAAATCAAGACAGCTTCATTTCCTCGAATGCAGCTTAAATACCTGTAAGTGAAATAGAGTTTAAACTGGATTTACTTTTATTTTTTTTATTTTTATTGCTAAAAGTATTACAAAGGGTATTACATATGTGTCCTTTTTTTCCCCCCGCCCTTAACAATCCCCTGGCCGCCTCTACCCTCCAGTGTCTTATGTCCATTGGTTATGCTTATATGCATGCATACAAGTCCTTCAGTTGATCTCTTACCCCCATCCCTCCTGCCCCCCAACCCTCCCCGGCCTTCCCGCTGCAGTTTGACAATCTGTTTGAGGCAGCTCTGCCTCTGTATCTATTGTTCAAAAGTTTATAATGGTCTCTATTATCCATGAATGAGTGAGATCATGTGGTATTTTTCCTTCATTGACTGGCTTATTTCACTTAGCATAATGCTCTCCAGCTCCATCCATGCCATTGCAAATGGTAAGAGTTCCTTCCTTTTTAGAGCAGCATAGTATTCCATCGTGTAGATGTACCACAGTTTTCTAATACATTCATCTACTGATGGGCACTTAGGCTGTTTCCAGATCTTAGCTATGGTGAATTGTGCTGCTATGAACATATGGGTGCATATATCCTTTCTGATTGGTGTTTCTGGTTTCTTGGGATATATTCCTAGAAGTGGGATCACAGGGTCAAATGGGAGTTCCATTTTTAGTTTTTTGAGGAAATTCCACACTGTCTTCCATAGTGGCTGCACCAGTCTGCATTCCCACCAGCAGTGCACGAGTGTTCCTTTTTCTCCACATCCTCTCCAGCACTTGTCGTTTGTTGATTTTGGATTTACTTTAAAGTGCATTTCTGTTACTGTGATTATGATATGCTTATGTGAATCAAACCTACGGTCAGTTTTTTGGGGTTAGGGGGAATGTTTTTTTTTCTCTCTCTCCCCTTAAAGAAAGAGTGCATTATTTTCAGAAAATATTGGTAAGTATCCAGGATAATTTTAAATTCTGGATTGTGTTTATTAACAGTTTTGTAAAAGATAGCTAGGAGTAGTTTGTTAAACAGCAGCTTAACCTATATAATGATGATGATAATTAGCATGTGCATTAGTGTTTTACAGTTTACAAGCATACTCACACATACTGTTTAATCCAAATGAAGTCATTATTATCCTTATTTTGTAGTTGAAGAAACAAAGCAGTTAAATGACTTGTAAAGTTGTGCTCAGCTGCCTAGTGGTAGAGCTGGGGCTCAGTCATAGACTTTGGGCAGCTTTCCTCTGGTAGAATTTTTGTTCCACTAATTTTTTGTTAATCATTTTTCATTTTAGGAACTTGAGTAATAATAGGATAACCATTTTGGAGGCTGGTTGCTTTGATAATTTATCGAGTTCCTTATTAGTGGTAAAGTTAAACCGTAACAGAATTAGCATGATTCCACCCAAGATCTTCAAGCTACCTCACCTCCAATTCTTGTGAGTAACCAAATAGATTGAGATCATTTTTTTCTTTACAGTGTCTTTTCCTTTTTAATTATTATTTAGAACAAATCAGCAAACCAGTTTTGTAATTGTAAAACTGTTTTGTTAAAGGGAGCTAAAAAGAAACCGGATTAAAGTTGTGGAAGGTCTAACATTCCAAGGTCTGGATTCCTTAAAGTCTTTAAAAATGCAGCGGAATGGAATTAGCAAACTTAAGGATGGCGCTTTTTTTGGCTTGGATAACATGGAAGAATTGTAAGTACTATGAACTAGCATAGGAGATTGTTAGGAATGGGGTCTGACTGAGACTTTTTAGTGTCAAACAGCTAGGATAGCTGCGATAGTTATACTTAGGTACATTAGTTCTTTTTCTCTTCTCTGATGTGAAATAAGTATACACAAAGCTCTGTAAGTTTTATTAAATAACTGGCATTTTTGCCATCATTCTCATAAACATTTTCTCTAAGTAGTTCATGTTCCTTTACTGTTTTGGCTGATGAAATTCATTAGAATTTACCCAGAATAGGTATACTATACCTCTTGGTGTCTTGATTTTATAGATCTGATATTTTATTTTATTTTTTTTTAAAATATATTCTGCCGAAACCGGTTTGGCTCAGTGGATAGAGTGTCGGCCTGCGGACTGAAGGGTCCCAGGTTCGATTCCGGTCAAGGGCATGTACCTGGGTTGCGGGCACATCCCCAGTAGGAGATGTGCAGGAGGCAGCTGATCGATGTTTCTCTCTCATCGATGTTTCTAGCTCTCTATCTCTCTCCCTTCCTCTCTGTAAAAAATCAATAAAAATATATTAAAAACAAAATAAAAAAAAATAAAAAATATATTCTATTGATTTTTTACAGAGAGGAGGAAGGGACAGGGATAGAGAGCTAGAAACATTGATGAGAGAGAAACATCGATCAGCTGCCTCCTGCACATCTTCCACTGGGGATGTGCCCGCAACCCAGGTACATGCCCTTGAGCAGAATCGAACCTGGGACCCTTGAGTCCGCAGGCCGACGCTCTATCCACTGAGCCAAACCGGTTAGGGCTAGATCTGATACTTTAGACAGTCTTATTACCTTCTAGCACTAAATCTTAAGTAAGATCTAAATATTTATTGACTAGAACTCGTTGGCTCACTGGGGTTGAAGAAAGGTATATGTTTCTCTGAGTAAGACTTAATGAAGAGTTTTGGAATCTTCCTATTGCACTGCTTGTTATGAAACTTACTTTCTCCTTTATTTCTCTAATTCTGCAGAGAACTGGAGCATAATAACCTCACAGAAGTGAACAAGGGGTGGTTGTATGGCTTGCGAATGTTACAACAGCTCTATGTGAATCAGAATGCTGTTGAAAGGATCAGCCCTGATGCATGGGAGTTCTGCCAAAGACTGTCTGAACTGTAAGTGTTGGTTGGCATTTCAGCGGAGCCTCTGAGGCTAGAGCAGGTTGGAATAAATCATTGCCACGGCCAGTAATAAAATCTGACATCCCTCTTTGTTAGAAGCTTGCTGAAAGCTCTAAATTTATCATGTAAATAGAAGTAGCCTATGAAAGTTGAATTAAAATAGAGTGAATTCCTTACCTTTCATGTATCCTGTTTTCAGTGATTTGTCCTATAACCAGTTGACCCGCCTGGATGAATCTGCCTTTGTGGGTCTGAGCTTACTGGAGAGATTGAATTTAGGGGACAACAGAGTCACTCACATTGCTGACGGTGTATTTAGGTTTCTCTCCAATCTTCAGACACTGTAAGTACACCTGTCCTCTTTTTTTCTTTTTTGCTAATTTTTTTTAAAGTAGTAAAGCAAATAAAACAATGAATCAGTCTGCAAATTTATACATGGTAATATTTTGTGGTTCTTCTGTTCTATGCCTCAGTGGAAGACAGTCTTACTTGTCTCTATCCCCATGCCTAAATCTTACTTATCTCTAGCCAGTTCTGTCTGTACTTTAATTCTGAATTAACCAACTAAACAACAAAGCATCTCTTGTGCCCGTTACTGTGGAACAAAACACAGTTGCTAGTGTCAGGAATGCACATTTTCTTCTTCCTCTGACCTTGAGCCATGTTATTTCTTAGAAAATTAAAATGAGCTTTGTTAGCTTTCACCTCAAGTAAAGATATAGCTGAATGGGAAGAGTGATTTCCTATCTCCTTAGTGATATTATGTATGTCTTGTAAAGAGAAAAGCTTTATGCTTTAATATGAGACGACTTAAGGAAGCAAGTAATCACCTTTAACTGGTATTTCTTCCATCAGGACATGGTGTGGTGCAGTTGCATTTCCTCTGAGAGTTGAGCAGGGGATTTTAAAAGATCCATACTTTTCCTTTTAAAGAAAACAGTGATTCCCCCTAAGCACATGGGTATATCATACTTGCTTCCCAGGGGACATGTTTAATTGCCGAGGAGAGGTGAAACTATATGGACATTACTCTTTGTCAGCCATTTTAGGTTAAGGGCCCAGGGGAAGGCTTGAATCGCCCAGAAATCCCATTAGTCTGCATCAGATTTGTAGGCTATATCTCCTGTATCTTGAAATCCTCCTGCTTTTTGCAGGATCCTGACTATAACTTTTAATATGCTAACACATTTAGTGGCTATTAGCTAGTGTGAGTGATACTCTTAGCAGGTTGCTTAATTTATGAAGGCCAGCTTAATTCTTAGCTTATGAGAATCAGTTTTTATATGCTTATCAGAGATATTCTTTTTTTAAAAAAAGAGTTATCATAACTTAACTGGTAAAATAAAGATAAAAATTATCATTGCCATGCCAGAATGGTGCTCAGTGTTATAATGGTCACGTTGACTAATATAGCCTGTTTTTCCCTGACATTTTTTTAGAAACTTAAGAAACAATGAAATTTCATGGGCCATAGAAGATGCTAGTGAAGCCTTTGCTGGACTCACAAGTCTTACTAAATTGTATGTATTTAAAATATTTATGTATATCTATAAGGGTATATTGTCAGGAACCAATTGTAAATGTGATTGGATTATATCTGTTTGCTGTGGCTGGGAGGTCTGAGCCTTTTGATTTATTCACTAAAGGAAGAAGCTTTTTAAAAAATCCAATATGATTTTATTGATTTTTAGAGAGAAAAACATTGGTGTGAGAGAGAAACATCAATCAGTTGGCTCCAATACGCACCCCAACCGGGGATCAAACCTGCAACCTTTTCTATGTACGGGACGATGCTCCAACCACCTGAGCCACCTGGCAAGGGCTAAAGGAAGAAACTTGGTTGATTATTAAGTTTCTTTGTTTTGAGATTTTTTTTTTTTTTAAATTTTGTTTTTTTGTGGTGGGGCGCTTTCTAACAAAAGAGCATTCCTATGGGCACATAAAGAAAAGTTGTTTATGGAACTAGAATTTCTGTTTAAGTGGAAAAATGCACTGAGAAACAAGAGTTGAACCAGTAATCTACTTAATCATGTGAGATTGATGGTTAATTTAACAAGAGAGGATTCTCTCAAGTAAGATTTTAGCTATTCTCCCATGAGATTTTTTCAAGGCTTCACACCTGTCTGAATTTCTTTGACCTGGTGATCTTTCCCTAAGAAGGGAGAAACTGGGACTGTCATTCAGTTTCTTACATGAAAACTGCCAGTGTGTCAGTGGTCAGGAGGGTCGTTCACAGGTACCTCATTGAGTTCTCACATCTTAATAGAGACCTTCATTCTCTGCTTTGCATTGGTTAGTCATAAATGTTTGCAGCTTTCATAAAAATGCAAAGCTTATTTTCATCTTTTATAGGTAAATGTTTGATTCAATGAATTTAATTTTGTTTAGTGGAGCACTTTATTAGAAAGGTCTGTTTGTGTTTCAGAATCTTACAAGGAAATCAGATTAAGTCAATTACAAAGAAAGCATTCATTGGTCTTGAATCCCTTGAGCATCTGTAAGTATTTTGCATGTTTTCCTACTGTATAAATAATTTTTGCTATTAGCAGAGGTTTTCATGACTATTTAAAGTCTTTATAGAACTTAATTATAGAAATGGTGACTAATAATATTTTGTTTCTCTTCATTTCAGAGATTTGAACAACAATGCTATAATGTCTATCCAAGAAAATGCTTTTTCTCAGACTCGCTTGAAAGAACTGTATGTAACTGAAGTATTTTTTTTTTTATCAATTAGATCATTATCCATGCTTGTACTTAAAGTGAGATGAATGTGACCCAGATGTTTTCAAAAGCACACAATTCAGGCAGGGAAAAAAAAGTGTCAATATGCAATTATTTTAGTGGCTGGATATAATTTAAAAATAACCCAACATTGAAAAGCGCAGTGTGGCACCAGGACCTCTGTTTGCCTGTGCTTATAGTTGGCACTGATTCTTGTGCTTTATGTATACCTGACTGTTCCTTTCCTCCCTTCCCCCCTTTCTTTTTGGATTATTAGAAACATGTATCCAATCCTTACACCTTGGGGTGGGTTACACTTCGGGATTATGTCATTTTTTGGAGACGATCTAGCACTTTCAATATAATGGTCAGAAAGGATGTCTCTGATCTGTTCAAGCTACTGAAATGTTCAAAACTGCATATAGTTGTTATAGAAAAATACATATTATACGTTTTTTTCATTCATGATTTTAAAAAAAAATTGCTTTTAATGGTTTCGAGATTTCATTGGGTTGGGGTGGGGTGGAGTGGTAACTAATTCGACTGTTCGGCCAGTGGTTAGAATCAAGGGCCAATAACATTTATCTTGCCCTACCTGAAAGCTATTTAAAGGAGTGTCTGTAGACCAGAACTAGTTCATGATGGGATATGGATAGAAATGTGTTTGAAAACTTTTAAAAGAGTTTGACATTACTGTGACACTTGCTCAACTTTATAATAATGTTGATCTATAACAGATGGGAAATTTTAAGAACCAGTTCTTCACCAGGTAGTTTGAGATGCACTGGAAGTGTGCTAGTTCAAACTGCCTGCGTTCAGATTCTTGCTCCATTACTCACAACTATGTGACATCAGACAAACTGATTAGCCTAAGACTGTTTTCCTACTTAAAATGACAATAGCACCTTCCTCAGGGCTGGTGAGTTTAATATGAGATTAATTTAGTCACTCAAGGAGTTTATTGTCATCTTCTATGTAAAGCATTGTTCAAGACAAAGTCTCTGTTTCATAGTATATTACAATAAATTCTAGCAAGGAAGATAGGCAATGAATCAGTGGATATCTACACTAATAAAAGATAGATGCAAATTGACCATACTTTCATGACACCCACCAGCCAATGAGGAGTGAGTATGTAAATTAACCCAACAATGATGGCAGGTTAATTTGCATACACAGGCGCCGAGTGGCCAGGGGTGGGACGGGACAGGACGCTTGCATCATCACCATGGTGACGACACAGGTGTTCCGCGCTGCCCTGGGCCTCTGGGCAGCGTGGGAAGGCTGAAAGGAGGCTCCGGCTGGTGCAAAGGCAGTGCCGTCAGCCAGGGGAAGGAAGGCCCATTTTTGCACGAATCTTGGTGCATCCGGCCTCTAGTATTCATATAAGGTCATAAGTGGCTTTTGCCAACTATAGTGCATTATATTATCCTACAGGAGTACACATTCAGAATTTTGAATAAACAGTATCCTATCTAATAAAGAGGTAATATGCAAATTGACCATCACTTCAACACACAAGATTGCCGCTCCCATGTGGACACAAGATGGCCACCACAAGATGGCCGGCAGGGGAGGGCAGTTGTGGGCGATCAGGCTGGCAGGGGAGGACAGTTGTGGGCGATCAGGCCGGCAGGGGAGGACAGTTAGGGGTGACCAGGCCGGCAGGGGAGGGCAGTTGGGGGGGAACCAGGCCGGCAGGGGAGGGCACTTAGGGGCAGTCGGGCCAGCAGAGGAGCAGTTAGGCATCGATCAGGCTGGCAGGGGAGTGGTTAGGTGGTGATCAGGCAGGCAGGCAAGTGGTTGGGAGCCAGCAGTCCTGGATTGTGAGAGGGATGTCCGGCTGCCCGTGTAGGCCCGATCCCACTGGTATCGGGCCTACACGGGCAGCCGGACATCCCTCGAGGGGTCCCAGATGGGAGAGGGTGCAGGCTGGGCTGAGGGACACACACACACACACACACACACACACACCCACACCCCGTGCACGAATTTCATGCACTGGGCCTCTAGTCCTATATAATAAAAGCCTAATATGCAAATCAACTGAATGGGGGAAGACTAGTTGCTATGACGCACACTGACCACCAGGGGGCAGACGCTCAATACAGGAGCTGCTCCCTGGTGGTCAATGTGCTCCCACAGGGGGAGTGCCGCTCAGCCATAAGCCAGGCTCATGGCTGGCATCCACAGTGGCAGTGGCAGGAGCCTCTCCAGCTTCTGCTGCAGGCAGGCAATAAGGAGCGATGGGTCCTGGACTGTGAGAGCCCGGACTGCAAGAGGGATTTCCGACTGTCAGCTTAGGCCCAGGGGGACCAGGCCTAAGCCAGCAGGTGGACATCCCTCAAGCTGAACTATGAGAGAGGGCGCAGGCCAGGCTGAGGGACCTCCCCATCCCCAGTGCATGAATCTTGTGCACCAGGCCTCTAGTGTATTATATTATCAGGTAATAAATGTTCTGATGAAAAGCAAAGCTGGGTCAAAGGTATGTAGAGTGGCAGTGATTGCTATTTTATATGAAGTAGAGAGAAAAGGCTTTCTGAAGATTAAGAGCATTTGAGCCAGGGATGAAATGGCAAACCATTGAAATCTGGCCAGAGGGCATCCAGGCACAGGGAAGAGCAATTGAAAAGGCCCTGAGGTAGGAGCTTGCTTCTTGTGCTTGACACTGGTGTGGCTGGATGATAAGAGCAGGGGAGTAGTGGGAGGAGACGAGGTCAGGGAGTTAATAAACAAGAGCCAGGGCATGTAGGATGTAGTACCTTATAGGTCATGAGGAATTAGGACCCCTCTCCTCTTGCCCCCCGAAACATTAGTAAACTTGGGAGAGTTTTGAGATGCTCAGCACAGAGCCTGGCACATTGAAAAAATTGAATAAATAATATTAAAATAAAATGTTATGGTAATTATCATTAGTTATTTTCTGCCAGAATTTTTAAATGGCCTTTTTTTTTTTTTTTTTTTTTTTTAAATTCTTGTATATGAGCTCAGTTCAAAATGTAATTTAGGTAGTAGGTGAAAGCACATATTATAGTTCATTCTTCAGAGAGTCATTTTAGTAATATGGGAATTGATTTGAACAAATTGCTAATGCAGGAACTATAATACAGCTTTTTTTACTGAGAAGTTTTGGTTACTTTATTTAATTTTTTAAAATTGATTTTAGAGAGAGGAAGGGGTGGGAGATGGGGAAGAAGGGAAGTGGGAAGAAAGAGAGAGAAATAGATTTGTTGCCTCCTGCACATGCCCAGACCAGGGATGGAACCTGCAACCTGGGTATGTGCCCTGACCGGGAATTGAACCTGCCACCTTTTGGTGTATGGTTACTTTAAATCTAAGTCATATTTATAATACTTTTTACATCAACACTTATTTAAAACTCTACATTTTTTTTATATTGTTTATAATACTTGGTGAAAATTTGAGGGGAGAGTTGCATATAAATTGAAAATATTTTGCATTGAAATTATCATGGTAGAAAAATTAGAAAGTACCGTTAAACCAAACGGGAGAGAAAGATCCCAAATCTCTACTACTTAAAGACAAGGACTGCTAATGTTTTGGTATCTATCTATCTATCCACATACTGAGAGAATGCCGCGTACTCTCTTAGGCACTTGTGGGCAGGGTCCGTTAGCATGCAAAGGGTAGAAAGATACAGAGAAATAGAAGTGAAGGGAACTAAAGTGAATTCAGTGGTTTCTGTGGCCAGGCACTGTGCTAAATACTTTATTTAAAATTGTTTTTGAGGTAGGCACTTTCAGTCCCATTTTCCAGAGATAGAAACAGATTTTGGAGACATGCAGTATCTTGCCTAATGTAAGTAGCGGAATTAGTCCAGGCCTCATGGGTCCAGTTTATACCGAAGAAACCGTAAATCAGACATCATTCCTCTGTTCTTAACCGTCCAGTGGCTTCCCATCACACACAAGGAAAAAAACAACTCAAGTTCTCAGTTTATAAAGCACTTGCATGGACTGGCTCTCATGTCCAGCTCTCTGACCTCATTCTGTCTCTATCCCTCAGTTTCCTCTGTCTGTGACACCCTTAACCACAGGTCTTTTTGCTATTTGCTGTCACTTTCCTTGGGTCGTCGTCCAAATGTCATCTCTTCAAAGATCCTTTCCCTGACCTTTCTACCTAAACTGGTAGCTGCTGTCTCAGGGCCATTGCCCAGCTTTGTTTTTCCTGATAGCACTTACTTTCTGACATTATACTTGCATTTATTTGTTTTTTGCTTGGCTTAAATACAAAAGCTCTGTGAAGGATATATTCCCACAGCCTACAATATCTGGCATGTTGTAGACTTCAGTATTTCTCTATGATTGAATGAATGAATGAATGTAACATAAGAATTCTTAAATGCATAAGGTAACTTTTGGCCTGCTTAATTAAAATTATCCTTGATAAAACATGGCTTTTGATATATCCTTAAAGACTGAAACTTCTTTGGAATCAGATCTTTGGTACTTTACACCAAACTTTAAAAGTAAATGAGGGACCATTAAAAGAAAACACTGATTTTTTTTTTTTTATATGCAGGGTGGGGCAAAAGTAGGTTAACAGTTATAGTACAAATAATAATTAATAAATAAGAATAAATTTTGTTTCACACACTCAAAACTTTAGCTACTTTTGCCCCACACTGTATGTTTTATAGGCCTATTATAGACCACAAATGATTTTTCAGAGTTTCTTAGTTTAAGTTATAGCACACATTGCCACAGGCTGAAGTGTGTTCAGTCTTGATGAAGTAATTTGAAAAAATTATATCCTCCACAACAAAGATGTGTTTATGCTCCAACATATAAAGCTTTTTTTCCTAAACTTTTCTGGGGGAATTTTAAACCTTAAAGATTTAAAGAAAGGTAAAGGAACATTCAAATACCCTTTACCTAGGTTCACCAATTATTAACTTTTTGCTAAATTTGTTATCTATTTCTCTCTCTCACCCCCTCCTTCTCTCTCTCTCTCACATTACATCTTTGTCTGTCTATCTCTCTACACACACAGAGATAGATACATATACATACACACTGCAATTTTGCTAAACCATTTGAAAGTAAGTTGGAAACATCATGACAGTTCACTTCTAAATATCAGTCAGCATGTATTTCCTAAAAACAAGGATCTTCTCCTACATTACCACAGCACTGTTGTCACACCCAGTGAAATTAACATTGATAAAATAATATCTAATATGCAGTTCATACTCAAATTTCCCCAGTGTCAGAAAATGTTCTTGGTAGATTTATTTTTCCAGTCAAGGATCACTCGTTTTATTTTGTTGTGGTGGTTCTGTAGTCTCCTTTAGTCTAAAACAGCCCCTGTCCATTCCCCCCACCTCCCCATTAGTATCTTTCATGACACTGACAGTATTTGAGAAATTCAGGCTGACCATCTCAATTTGTTTTCTCATGGTTAGACTCAGGTTAAGCATTATTTTGGCAAGAAAAATGCATAGGTACCTAGTCAGCTTTTAATGCTTGAAGAAACTTAGAATGAAAAGTAAAAAGCACTTTTTTCCCTCTTTGTTTCTACAGGATTCTGAACACAAACAGTTTGCTCTGTGACTGCCATTTGAAGTGGCTGCTTCAATGGCTCGTTGATAATAACTTTCAACATTCCGTGAATGCAACTTGTGCACACCCCGAGTGGCTAGCAGGGCAGAGCATCCTGAATGTGGATCTGAAGGATTTTGTCTGTGGTTCGTATTTTTGTCTTTTAAATTTTCTATATTACACACTTATATCTTAACAATAGAATTTTTTATAAAGATGGTTATAGGATTAAGAACTTGTCTTGAAATTTTAATATATGTTTTTCTTTTATTCCCATTAACTGCTAATGCTTAGGAAGTACATTCTAGGCATAAGTGTCAGTAAGGGATAGTGGGAAGAGTGCTAAACCCTGAAGTTTGAAAACCTGGGTTCTGGTCCAGGCTCTGATACTGACTTACATGTCTCTGAGCAAGTCATTTGACCCTTTGGGCCTCATTCTTCCATCTTTAAACGAGGCATTGGATTCTAGCTCTATAGCCTCTTTCAATCTTAATATGCCATCTTGTAAACAGAACACACAATTTTACATTATTTGTTTTAAAATTGAATTTGTAGAAGCAAAAATAAACAACTGACTTGTCTCCTGCCCTATTATTTTCCCTTAGATGATTTTCTCAAGCCACAGATAAGAAGACATCCTGAAACCACAGTTGCTCTCAGAGGTGTGAACGTGACTCTGACGTGCTCTGCAGTGAGCAGCAGTGATTCACCCATGTCTACTGTGTGGCGCAAAGACAGTGAAATCCTGTATGATGCTGACATTGAGAATTTTGTTCGTTTTCAACAGCAAGCTGGAGAAGCTCTGGAATATACTAGTGTCTTACATCTTTTCAATGTGAATTTCACAGATGAAGGAAAATATCAGTGCATCGTTACTAATCACTTTGGTTCTAATTATTCTTATAAAGCCAAACTGACTGTGAATGGTAAGGAATTATGTACCCTAATAGTTTTCTGTAGTTGGGAGGATTTTCCACATCCATTTTGAACCATTTGACTCAAGAAAATTAGGCGAAACCTGACATTTGAGGAGGATCTTACTGTTTCTGTCTTTAGGATTGTGATCATGTATAGACTGGATTGTCAGTTTGTCCATTTCCTATCCCTAATTGGTCATTGGTTGAAGGGTAAATGTGAATTCCATGTCCCCAGGAGAGAAGCTGCTTTCACTGTTATTTATGCTTTTGAAAAAATTCCTTTGAAATTCCCCATTTTCTTTCCAGACCATAATTCTTTTTTGAGAACTATGAAATTTATTCCTGGCATTGTTCACAGGGCCTTTCAATAGTGGAGTATTTAGCACATTTCTAGGTCCAATGATCATCATCATTGTCTTAATATAGTCACACACAACCATTGTTGAAATTAATGCTGTCTTCACTGTGGCTATAAAAAACTTCTCCAAAATAGCTTGATCTATTTATTGCCCATTAGATTGAATAACTACAACATTTTAGACTGTGCACTCAAAAGATATACTTACGTTTTGCTTGTGTGTTGTTTTATGAGATTTTTGAAGGCTTAATTTTTTTTTTTATCGTACAGTTCCTTTGACAGCACTATAGAGGTTAGTGTGAGAAGCACCGTTTAGTCTCTTAAGTAAGGAAGTCAGTAAATACCAGGTTCTAAAATACGGGGTTCAGAAAGGTTTGTGGCCATCTGCTTTCCCTGTCCCCAGGGGACAGGGAGGTGTGTCATGTACTCCAGAAGGGTGAGATCACTGTGCTGCAGATACTCAGGTTGAGAGAAAAGATGGCCTTGGAAGTTGCTTTCACTGTCAGTCTAGAGAGCATGTCTTCCTTAAGAAATGCAGCATGATGACAGTTGTCATTTGGCCTAACAGGTTCTCCCTGTTGGTGTGTGTTTTCCCTCACCCACTTTTTCTTGGTGATCTTTCTTGGAACAGAGATGCCTTCATTTCTGAAAACCCCAATGGATCTAACTATTCGCACCGGTGCCATGGCCAGATTAGAATGTGCTGCAGAAGGGCACCCTGCACCTCAGATTTCCTGGCAGAAAGATGGCGGGACTGACTTTCCTGCAGCCCGAGAAAGACGAATGCATGTCATGCCCGAGGACGATGTCTTCTTCATCGCAAACGTGAAGATAGAAGACATGGGGATCTACAGCTGCATGGCACAAAACATAGCAGGAGGCCTCTCAGCAAATGCCTCACTCACAGTGTTAGGTATGTTTATTGTCATGGGTCCCAGCTTTTGTAGGAGCCTTTTTATTAGGGACCTAATTTCGGTCTTAATGACAAGAAAAGTCTGATATTTCAGCTGTGATCCTTTCATCTCATCACCTTGTTTTGTCAGTTTATGCAGGGTTATGTCAGCCTAGGGCCGTGGTCAGCAAACCGTGGCTCGCGAGCCACATGCGGCTCTTTGGCCCCTTCGGTGTGGCCACGAAGTTTAATCGCACTGTACGTGCGCCCCCGCACGTGGTATTTTGTGGAGGAGCCACACTCAAGGGGCCGCAGTTTGCCGACCACTGGCCTAGGGCATTAGTGGATCAGGTAGCTGAAATCTGGGGGAATGCTGAGGGCGGATTTAGAGAGGTTTACCACATGAAATGAAAATTCAAGGCCCTAAGTGTATCCTATTATATCTCCCTCTGTACGGTGCCTGCTTCATACACATGAGTTTCAGTTATTTTATAGGGAACTTGAGACAGTGCAACTGTTTTCCCTCCATGTCATTTAAAATTTTTTTAAATACAGACAGAATGACCTGTCCTCTAGTTAGATTTCCCGTTTTCCATCCAGTGTGCTCCTTTTAATTTTATGCTCTGTAAAATGTCTTTCCCCTAAAGATTTCTCCTGACAGGCCTGTTTCTTCTTATGACAATGCTTTTCTTCATGGACTTTACTCCCCGGGAAATTCTATTTTTAGTTCTCTATTCCCTTAGATGTTAAGGTTTTTAAAAGTTTGTTGGTTTGTGTTATTTATTTGTATAATAAAAAAATAAGTTTATTGTGTTTAAAAACATTAGCTACATAGAAAATTAGAATAAAGGAGGGAAAGTCACTCAAACAGTTGTTAAAAATTTTGTCATATTCTGGACTTTTTTTTAAACTCATTTTTATGTAGTTATATATACCTGCTTTTTTCCACTTAATATTTATCACAGGGTTAATACTATTGGTCTTCATAGAATATCATGTGGCTGTGTACTGTAATTAATCATTTTCCTGCTAGGATTTTAGATTTTTCCCTTTATTTTTAAAATTACAACTAATTTTATAATAAATATCTTTGTGTAGAAATTTTTGAATTCCTTAGCTTAGGATAGCTTGCCCAAGGTGGAATTACTGAGATAAGATGTAGATTTTTTTGAGACTTTTGCTTTTCTGAAATACTAACTTGTAATCCTTCCATGAGTATAAGAAATTGCCTATTTCATTTTCACCTCATTAATCCAATAGGATTTAAGGAATAAAATTGCTTAATATGATTTTTATATAATCTCTCTGTTAGAGACGCCCTCATTTATTAGACCCCTGGAGGACAAGACAGTAACCCGAGGTGAAACTGCAGTGTTACAGTGCATAGCTGGAGGGAGCCCTGCCCCTCGCCTCAACTGGACCAAAGATGATGGACCACTGCTGGTGACAGAACGGCACTTCTTTGCTGCAGCCAACCAGCTTCTCATCATTGTAGATGCTGGGCTAGAAGATGCCGGGAAATACACCTGCATTATGTCTAACACTCTTGGAACAGAACGTGGTCACATTTACCTAAATGTCATCTCATCCCCCAATTGTGACTCTTCCCAGAGTAGCATTGGGCATGAAGACGATGGCTGGACCACAGTTGGCATTGTCATCATCGTTGTGGTCTGCTGTGTTGTGGGCACCTCTTTGATCTGGGTCATTGTTATTTACCACATGAGAAGGAAAAATGAAGACTATAGTATTACGAACACAGGTGAGTGGCACCAGTTGACACCTTTGGCTTGTGCTTGAATCAGGAATGTAGTATAGAATTTACTGTAAAATATAAAAATTGGGGAACTTTGTTAATTTATACTTGTATGTGGTAGAAGGAAGAGTTTTTCTGTTAAAATATCCAGTTTCCTTGATATAACAGAACCTCTCTAATAAATAGTTTTAAGAATTTGTGGACACTCCCTTACAAGTTTACTCTTCGTTTTCTAATGCCTACAGCTCATTTCCATTGTAGTTTCTCTGTGGGGAAGAGGAGCCCTTATGGCTGATCAGTCTTTCATACTCCTCACTCTGAAATTCTGTGAGAGGAGTTGCAGCCATAGACTGTGAAAGTACCCACAGATAAGATTTCCGACTTTAGGTTTTGTTCCTCTTGGTAATACTATTACAATGAAGCTTTGAGAATAAGTCTAGTGAGATAATTTTAGGGGAAATTCTAGTGAGAAATGATTTTAGGGGAAATTTTAAGTTCCTAGGTATACATAAAACATTTTCCTGGCCAATAGAATCCAAGTGGAACACATTTATACAGTGGTTTTCTGAGCATTGGCTTAAATTGCCTAACTTTATTTGTGAGTTACATACAGATTTCTCTTTTGCAGAGGAGCTTAACCTGCCTGCAGACATTCCCAGCTACTTGTCTTCCCAAGGAACTCTGTCTGAGCCACAGGAAGGCTACAGCAACTCTGAGGCAGGCAGTCATCAGCAGCTCATGCCTCCTGCCAATGGATATTTACACAAAGGCACTGATGGTAATGACTCTTCATTATGCTTACATTGCAGCCCTACCTGCTTGAGTTTATTTTTTAGTGTCTAGTTTTGCCCTTTAACCTGAAGCAGTATTTTAAAAGAGATACTCAAAACATTTGGCCCCATGCAAAATAGGATAAAAATTGACTACAGTCTTAAACAGAGAAGAAAGTCACCTGACAGGTAGGAGAAACGCATCCTAATGGGATTGAGAGTACTACCTCGCACAGTCTCCCACACCAGTGTTACTATGGGAAGGAGAAGCTCTGGAAGTGTTTTTTCGGTGTCTTTTATCTGATTTCAGGCATGAACATCCTTCAGACCATGTTCAGGGGAGGTTTGTTTCTCCTGCTGACAGGTATATAGTCACTAAAGTTTAAACGGTGATGTTTTTCAGCATATATCAGAGAGATGAAATGTTCCCTAATCAAACCCACCTTCTCAACATCGCTATTCTTCCCATTCCGTCCTTCCCACAGGAAGGTGAATGAAGGGATAGAATCGGGTTTGATTCCTAGTCCCTCTTTCCAGCTCTGTGGCCATGAACAAGTTAACATCTGAGCTTTAATTTCCTCGTAGCTAAAATAAACTATTTTATAAAGCACTTTCCTCAAGTTTTAGCAGATTCTTTCAGCAAATCTGTGTAGTACTTCAAGTCCTATACAAATGAAAGGTCTATTTCATTTCTAGAGATTTTTTATGCTGGGTGTTGACAGAACTTCTCTATGTAATTGACAAGTTGGATTTTTTGGTTCTCCATGAAAAAGGGGGTATTTTTAGCTTTAAAAAAAAATATGTAAAGCCTTCACTCTGAAATTTGTGGGAAATAACACTGCTTTCTGGGTTAAACAAAATTACATTTCGATTTCTTCCAGTTCTAAAATTTTGTTGCTTGATCGTGAATTAAGTACCTCGCGCTTTATTCCTCACTCTCTTTCATCATTCAGTTTTCAAAGCACATAACAGCCCAGGGAGCTCACTGTTACTTTTACTTCTGCCAAACGCATATTTGTTGGGCAGGACTCTTGGCTTTCTCAGGGGTACTTTCCGCAGCTAGTGTTGCTTAACCTCTTGACTCATGAAAGTAATATGGGCTTTTGTGAAGTGAAGCGATCATAACTCCTTGTTCTCTGCTTCAGTTTGCTTAAGCCAAACATGTCTTGTAGCACAGTGCCAGCCTTGTTTTGGCGCCCTTGATTTGAGCATGACCTTATCCAGGTTGGACAAAGATGGCTTAGTCAAGAGCACGAGCTGGAGCCAGAGTGCCGAGTTCAGATTTCAGCTCCTCACTCTGGCCGTGTGCTTGGGCCAGTTACTTAACTTCCCTGTGTTGTAGTTACTCCATCTGGAAGATGGGGAAATAATAGTACCCACTGTACAGGGATGTTGTGAGGATTACACAGTTAATTGACAGAAGACCTTCGAACTTCACCTGGTCTATAAAAAGTAAATGTGGAATAATTGCCAGCTCTGATGATAATGACGGCAACTGTTGGAGAAAACTGATGATGGTAAAGCTGGTTCCTTAACTGAAGGCTGTTCGGCTTCTATCCCTTGTTGACCTAGGTGGCTCTGGAACCCGGGTTATCTGCTCAGATTGTTATGACAATGCCAATATCTACTCCAGGACGCGAGAATACTGTCCGTACACCTACATTGCTGAGGAGGATGTTCTAGATCAGACACTGTCCAGCCTCATGGTCCAGATGCCCAAAGAGACTTATCTGGCACATCCTTCCCAAGATGCCACAACACTGGAGAGCCTGGTCTTACCAGCAGATAGAGAGACGTCTGCCTTTCCCACCAACCACGAGAGGGTGAATGAGAAGACACTTGCCTCCACACAGATGAGCAGTGGTAAAGGGCACTGTTTTTTTGTTCATTTTGTTTTCACTTTCACCTACTTGATTTTTTTCTGTCATGTAGTTAGCACTCTTATTTGACAGGAAGCAGCAGTCCAGTTGGTGTAATAGAGTCATTAGCTGCTATTACATGGTATGAACTAGAGCAAGAGATTTTTAGAGACTAGAGTTACAGAGAAGTCTGCATCTTTTGGATGAAAACAGCTTTTGTGGAAATAGCAAGACCACACCTCTAAAAATTCAGAAGCCATATAGCAACAGCTTTTAAAAAGTTTCATGTAGGTGTTACTTTTCTCCTTTCATCTTACTTAAATGATGGAGATCTGAAGTGCTAAGGATATAATTTGATGAAGGTTTTTACTGAGGAAACTTTAAATGCTTTATTTGGTTGCTGCACTATCAGGTAATTATTGAATGGCAGCATCACTTGGCAGGTGTTTGCTTTTGTCTGTGAGGTATGATGATCAGGGCCATCAGTGGGAAAGCAGTGAACCAGTGAACCAGAGTCTAGTTTAACTGGACCCCAGCTTATTTGTATGCATATAAAGCTTGAGAAACCCTGCTGGCATTTACTCTTCACATGGGTTTTTTAAAAATTTTACTTCTGAGCATTTGTTTCCAGAATATTTGAAAAAGCTTTTTCCAAAATGCATCCCCATGAAGTTAACATAACTTTCAGTAAATGATCTTTGGGGAGAGCTTACCTTGCAATAAATAAGGAGAATGAGAAATGCACACTTTTGAACTCAGAGTATGGACAATCTGATTTAAAATCACTGCTTTTGGTTATCTTATTGTTGGAATTATTAGAATGCTAGAAACCAGAGGGAAATCGTTTATTTTTAAGATAGTTTTTGAAAACATAGGCATTTAATTGTTATTTAAAAACATACAGGGTGGGGCAAAAGTAGGCTTACAGTTGTTCCTAATGAAAGTAATACAATAATTAATAAATAATAAAACGAATAAATTCTGGGTTTCATGTACTCACAACTGTAAGCCTACTTTTGCCCCACCCGGTATGACTTCTCTGAATTTTTATTACGCATTCCATTACAGTGTGAATACTATTAGTCCCTTAGTCTGTTTCCATGTGTCTAAAGAGTTTTGTTCTCAAATTTTGTAGCAGCAGAATCATTAACAAGAGGCAAAAGTAGGAGACATACCGCATGGATTCAGCAAATAATTGGTTAAGTTTGAATAGAAGGGTTTGCATGACCATAGTTCCAGTTTTCGTCTTGTTTCTTTTTTTAGTGTTGCTAAGAAGATGGCAAGTATATATTTGATCTCAGCATCCTTATACAGGAATATTGGGCATCTTTATTTCTTTGAGGATTTGGGTAAAAGAAAATTAAGCTGTAGGAAATTAATTTTGAACTTGTATTTGCCACTGACGATTCTTGTCTTTGATTCTCAGAAACATTGCAGCGGCCTCTGTGGAACATGAGCGGAGAACTAGGCCTGCCTCCTGCTCCCTTTTCCCAGCAGCCCGTCCCTGCGTCACCACAGCCCCATCAGCACGAGGGCCTGGCGGAGAGTGGTGCCGCTTGCTCCGCTTCCCCCACGCCCTGTCACAGGTTGCACGACCTCGCTTTTGATTTTAGTAGGACTCGGAACATTCAAGAGGGAAGCGAGGGCACATGAAATATTCTAGGGTGCAATCTGGGCAAAGACCCAAATTCATTAATTTTGTATTTACTACCTCAGAGTTCAGAAGAAACCCCAAAGTCAGCATTTGCTTCACTCTTTGTCTACAATTACATTTGACCACACCAAGGTGGGCTAGGCATTTGTTTGGGCTTACACCTGACAAAGAAAAGATAATGGCTGACAGACCTGGGTACATGGACTAGACAGTGTGCCGCAGGGGCAGAGGACGACGGTACAGGACAGATGTGCTTCCTGAGGGTCCGGGGCAATATGCCCGGTGCATTGCATATTGGGAAGAGTCTCATTGCTGCTTACCATGCTGATTGTCTCAACCCGCAGAATGATTCTGAGAAAACAGAATCTATTTTGCCTTCCAAAGAACAAAAATAACTTTGGGCCTTGCTTGGACATGTTCGGGGATTTGTCAGTGGTTTTAGCAGGTTTTAGCGAGCCGGTCGTTGAGGCTTTGATATTCAAAGTCTTTGGCAAGTATCCCAGGCTTGACCAGCTGTTACCAGGTCAAGGAGTTTTGTATTCATGTGAATCATTTTTTTCCTTGGGGGGCGGGGGAGAAGGGGATCCCTATCACCCTGGAATCTCATTGTAAATATATGTGCATTTATAAATAATTTTTTGTATTCATTGACCGTAAGTGTTGGCTGCAATGTAAATATTTTTGATATGCCAAAATTATATATGACATCTAGTTATAATGTTGACAGCAGCTTCTCAGACCACAGACAGATTTTGTATATCTTGGTTTAGTGATTTTAAAGGCTGTTTAAAGTTTTAAAAATGTATTTGTTAAGAAGTCTATGTATAGAGGTAGGGTACCTAGTGATTGGGTGCACACAAACAGTCTTGGTGTAATTAACCACTTCGTACCTAAAGGTTCATACATCTACTCATTTGCCACCTGTTTACAAGTGCCAGACACTATTACCTTTCTAGGGTAGAAAGGCTCTTTGAAAACACTAGCAGTCCTGTCATCGCCATATGTACGTAAATAAAGGAAAACTCGTTTGGGGAATATCTTCTTTCAACAAAGGATTTAGTTGACGAGGAAACCAAAGATTGTTTCTTTTCTGTTTGTTTTTTTATAATGTCTCTTCTACCAATCCACATTGCATCTTAAGAAGGGAAAAGGGCTTTTGGAAGTAGAAGGACATGCAGAAATGTTTACACTATAAAGCTTTGGAGTGGTCCTTGTTTAAGTACAAGGATTATTTAAGCCAAAAAGTTTTCCTGAATTTCTGGTAGTGTTACGTAAACAAAGGACTTGACACTAATGGAATGGAATGGACTGGAGTTCTTTGTGCTTTCAGATTTCCTTACATAGGCAGGCAGGCGGTCAGACTCTGTCCTCTACATCTTGTAAGTGCTAGCTAGCTATGTACTACACAACCTGTCACTTCAGTGAAAATAAGTCATTGTGCATTTCAGGGGTTCTAAACGCTCATAATTTCTTAGCTTTTTGCTAGAATTTAATGCTTGTTTTCAATCCTAAATCTCCCATAGGCAGCATCACCTCTTGAGCTGTTTCGTACCATCATGCCTTTCTCTTTTCCCTTTTTAAACTATCAGCCTTTCTTCATTTTCACTTTGAACTTCTTAAATATCTTCCCCCCACCACCCTTCAATTTGTGCTTACTAGGTTGTAGTATAATTTGTACTGACTTAGAATCAAGAGACCTGATTGTATTCCCTGCCCTGTACTTACTAGTTGTGTAATCAGGGCCCAGTCCCTTTACATCTCAGCCTGTTTATGAAATGAGGGCGCTTTATGGATGCTCTGAAGCCCTTTCCAGCTGTAACATTCTATGAACCTGTGATCCCTCCAGGAACCAAGGAGGGTTATGCTACTCTAATAAAAAGCTGCTTTCATGAGATGTTTGTTAAGTAGAACAAGAGCGATGCTGCTTACTCTGACTTGAGCCAGACTTACTTCCTCTATAGCAGGAGAAATGGTATAAGCTACACTCCTGGGAAGAAATATTCTGCTTCTAAACAGTGTCAGTAAACAAGGACACTGGACTGCATTGACAAGCACCAGTGCGCTCTAGCACAGCAGGTCTGAGCGCCGGTGTTGGAATACTCCACAGACTCTGAATCAGTTGGAGGGTGTGCCACCGCTAATTTGTCACTAGTTTGTGACCTTTCTGCTGTGTTCAAGGTTATCCCAATAATGACAGTACTCTTTCTCATATTCTGATAGACTTTCTTGAGTGAAAAAGGTGGAGATAGAGCTAGACTGCAAGTGAACATTGGCTGTCACGTGTGAGAGGACAAAACAGGCTGGGCCAGTGCCCTAGGAAACATGGCTGCATGGTGCTGCCGTGGTGTTGGCAGTGGCCATTCTCTGCAGTATCAGTCTGTCTCCTGATGGCCAGGGATTCCGTTTTGTCAACTCTCAGCTATCCCTAGCTTGTCTACTGGTACATAACTAAAAAACTTACCTAAATACTAGTCAGGAATTTGTTTAAATGTGAATAGCCTACCCCTGGTCTTTAAAGAAGATAATGAATTTAATAAATTCTAATCTTAGGAGGAATACCTGAAACTTTTCATCATTGCATCTGTTCCTTTTTTTTTTTTTTTTTTTAAATATATTTTATTGATTTTTTACAGAGAGGAAGGGAGAGAGATAGTTAGAAACATCGATGAGAGAGAAACATCGATCAGCTGCCTCCTGCACATCTCCCACCGGGGATGTGCCCGCAACCCAGGTACATGCCCTTGACCGGAATCGAACCTGGGACCTTTCAGTCCGCAAGCCGACGCTCTATCCACTGAGCCAAACCGGTTTCGGCAACTTTTCATCATTGCATCTGTTCTTGACCAAGCAGCGTTTAACTCTACTATAACCCGGATTAGTGGCTCAGCAGTGTTTCTTTCCAGCATCGTAATGTCTGCCTGTTGCCAGTTTAATACAGGATGTGGCTGACCCAGGCAAATGAAAATGCTGGGACCCAATTACCACTTCCTCTCAGGAGCGATGCATAAATCCTCTCATGTGTTGGTACCCCTCAGACCGATTCTTCAGGCCTGCCTGGAAGAACTAGCCTTGTCCTTGAACTCCAGCCTCACTGGCACAGGCTCCACACCTAAGCCATTGGCTTTCCGTCCTTCGCAGCTTCTAAAGTGCTTTCCCCAGAAGGCACAGTACTCCGAGGACCCAGCCACGTGCACTTCCCTCCAGGTGCCATCTCAGAATGCTTAGGATGCATGTTTCTCTGTAAGGTAACTTTCATGTTTAAAAACAGTTGCCTTCACATTACCCATTTGGAGGTTGTAAAAGAAACAAATGTTAAGCAGCTTAGACTGAGCCATTTTCCTAAGAAAAGGGAGATATGATAAAAGTCTTTAATTACTTTAAATGGTTGTCTTATGAGATTCACTGTTTTGATTCCAGAGGACCTGGGTCATATCAGTGGGGCAGCAGCTACAGGAGATGCAGAATACCCTGGCCAGTAATCTATAATAATAAAAGCATAATATGCTAATTAGACCCGACAGCCGAAGGACCTTCTGGATGAAGCCCGGGCTGCGAGGGCCAAGCTCCTTGCACGAATTTTGTGCATCAGGCCTCTAGTTCTATATAAGCTCACTTGCTAACCTAACTGTTAGATTTACCTGACAATTGGAATAATCAGCCTTTGGGGGAAAAGTACACACGGAAGCTGAATAATCATTTGCTAATAACTTTGAGGAAATTTCTGCCTTGAGATGGAATATGGGCAAGATGACTTTCATTTTATCATTGGAAATCTCCAGAAAAACCGTGCCCTTCAGAATCCTTTATATAAAGTATAGAGCACTTAAGAATTTTTTTAAACTAAAGTATTTTGTGTTTTGGCCTATTCTGTGTTAATGGCTGAAAACATGAAAGTGGGCTTATTCTGAGGAAATCTGTAACTAGTAATTAACACAGACAGCACTACCATAATAAAAAGTTTAAAGCCTGTCATGTATTATATCCCTCCCTTTTACTCTTTATTTAATTTTGATCCCTATTCTTATCAGTGGGCTCCATATAGAATGGGGTTGGAATTGTAGTGTTTAATTTTATACCGAGTATTTCACTCAAGTGTGTGGTGGCCTGTTCTAATCACTTGACTATCCACAGAAATGCCAAGAGGGTAATGGAGCTACAGAGGTAAATTTGCTGTCATTTTATGCTACATCTTCCATTTCATATTTTACTTCTTGATGCAGATGACAGGCAATTGTGAAACAGTCGAGCTAAGGTTTTTTGGCAATCTGCAAGGAATGTTTCATTTTTCTATTACATGGTCTCTTTCCAATTCAGTTTGGCAGATGTTTCCCCCTCCTGCTCTTCTAACCTTTTTTGGGGGAGTACAAGCTACACCAATATCAGTCAGCTTTCATTTTCTTTCTGTTTTGGACACTGCCTTGTTTGTTGCAAAAATAACAAGTTCTGAATTGAGAGATCTATTATAAGCTGCTCTTATCAAAACAACACCTGAAAGCCCATGAGTCATCTGAAGGTTTTATGGGTACTAAAGGGTGTGTGTGTGTGTGTGTGTGTGTGTGTGTTTTAAGAGTAATATTTGGACCTGTTCCCTCAAGTTTGTATTGTTTATCAGTCCTAATAATCTTCACCAACGGGTGGGGTGAAGGTGAAAAACAGGTGTAAGGAATATAATTATCAGCTGTAACTGTCTTGAAAGAGAAATTGGTCATCATGTGGTCAACTGCTCTTAGAATTTTCCTTAGCTACTGGAAGTGGCCTCTTGATCCGTAGACTATTTCTATGTTCCCACTCTGCTCCCCCTGTGTTTCCCCCACCCCCATCAGAGGATGTCAGTCTGAGCAGCCCTGGTACTAGATGTCCCTGAGGAGAGTTGTAAGCCAAGTTGTTCAGTGTGGCCCTTTCCTCATATCTATTTATATTTTCTCACACGAGAATGTATATTTTATAAAGCATGTGTTTGTCTACTTGTTTGTCTACTGTGATATGTCTTCAATAAAGCTAAACTACATTATGATTTTCTGGTCTTTTCTTGCCTCAAGTACAGGACGAAATGGTGCATTACGCTTTATGATTCCCAAGCACAGCTTCTTGCCCCTTACTTTGTCACGTAGTCTTTGTTACGGCCTGACTTGTGTGCCCCCAGTAAGAAGGGAGAGTGTAGAGCCCAGACCTGCATTTGCACAGAGGACAGTGAGTAGACAGCCATCTGCAGGCCAGCAAGAGAGGCCTCGGAAAAACATGCCGACATTACCGTGGACTTCTACCATCCGGAAATGTGAAAAAGTAACCCTGTTGTCTACACCCCCATCTGTGGGGTTTTGTTATGGCAGCCTGAGCAAGCTAATACAACCTTCTGATAACCGAGCCAGGTTGGCAGTTTTCTTATACCCCAGGCTGTGGGATTTGCCTAAGGTCAGAGGCTCCAAAGCCCATGCTCTTTGGACTGTGTCATACAATCTTCTGGCCCCAGCCGGAGCCTTTTATACTGAAAAGCGCTGCAGAGATGAACACACTGGCTGGTGTGCTTGCAGTTCCGACACTGCACAGCCCCAGCTGCACAGAAGTTTAAACGAAAGGCGGCCGCAGCACTGAACACTGCTGCCCAGAAAGCAAGACGCTAACGTGCGTCTGCAGCATAAGTGACTGGAGGTTGAGTGCATCTGGGAACAAAGGAGCAAGGTGTTTGGAGCAAGTGCTTTTAAGCTCCTATTTTGTTCTCTTCCAAGGAGAAAACAGGTTTTTAAATCAATAAGTAGAATCCCATATGTGGAGTCACTGGCTATTCTGAGTTATTTGGATCAAGTCGTTTAATTTTGTGTCCTTTTAAAATCCTCCATCAAGGCCAATGTGAATTCCTCCGTCTCAAATACAATGGGCATGTGGTTGAGGTCGGCCATGATGGAGCCTGGCTTGAATTATTTATTCTGGTCAAGCTCCAGAGACAAGTGCTCGGGTCTGTTCCAGCCCAGAAACGGTGCAGAGCACTAGGATCGTCGTCAGCTGAATTCCTGCTGCTTCCAGGCCCTGCTCATGCATGTAACCCCCCTGCTCATGCATGTAATCTGGGATGAGTGCTTCTGAGACGGAGCTCACAGCTAAGATTCGCGTGTAGGGTGGAGAACTTGACGTGGAGAAGTACAGACTCACCATAAATCGCGCATTTGGGGGAAGGCATCCTGCTGGCACGAGTTTTGCCTCCAGGGCCCCACTCCTCCACAGGCACCAGCTTTTCCTCTTTCCTTTTCCAGTCGCCTGCCCCACCTGCGGAGTGTGTGCCAGTCCCCGAGGGTCCTTGAGAACAAAAGCCTTTGGTTCCTAGGGAGGTAAGAAGTGTGAAGACTCCCTCCTGTCTCCCCATTGAAGGTCTCTGTGGCCCATGCTCCTTCCTCTGCACAGCTTTCGGGTAGAGAAGGCCCAAGAGCTGGCTGGCTCATTACTTTTCTCCCTCCTTTTCCTCCTTTCCTTTACAAAAGGGCTTCCATTTTACAGAGATGACTGGTTCATTTTGCCCAGAAGTCCTTTTTTGCATCTGATTTAAGTCCTAGCAGATGCAAGACTTGTTAGTGAAATGGTTACCGAGGGAGGTGGAAGAATGTGAGAGTGTGTAGAGTCTTTCCAGTAGCTCTGGAAGGCAGGGTGTGCCTTTTAGAAGACCTTTGGTTTAGAAAACAAACCTGTTTTGTCCCCTCTAAACAGTCCTGTTTACTTCCTTATTGCTGTTCTCCTTTCCTACCTTTCCCCTCACTTGCCCCCACTTCCCCACGCCTAAGAGTTTTGGCAGGAGAATCAAGAAACTAAACTCCCAGGTCCCCAACCTGTCCCCCGCGGTGGACCTCCCCTTTTGGTAGCCTGGCTGCAGCTTTGTGCTGGGACAGCTGGCTGGTGTCTGAGGGTTCCCTATGCTCAGCCAGAACTGAATTTGAGTTTCCTTGGGCCCTGCACGCACCGCACGGTGATTGAAAGTCAGTGGGTCAGAGCACTGCCTTAGGAACCGCTGGGCTCCACTCCTACCTGGACCTCTTACTAGTTGTGGGGCACTTAGGCCAGCTCCGTAGGAGCTTTGTGCCTCAGTCTCCTCATCTGTAAAGTGGAAACACTCATGCCCACCGTACATGGTTGTTGAGAGGATTAGATGTGCTAATGCCTGCAGAGTAAGTACTAAGCACAGTGCCCAGTTCAGCACTAGGTGACTTTTGGCTGCTACTGGCTGTTGTTATGGGCACTTGAACTAGAGCCTTGCACTTTCCTCCCCTGCTGTCCCCTGCCTTCTTCCCCTCCCCAGCACATCTCAAGACAGGAATGTCAGCAGTTTTCCCAAAGTCACTTTAGGAGTAGCCCTGGAGATTTTGTTCCCAGCTGGGCTTTATTTAGAACCAAGATACAATCTCCTGAAACTATGATTAAGTGAAAAGTGCCTTCAGTTCAGCTCTGAGTCAGGGACAGGGATTCTGACCAGCTGCACTCACTGACCATGTGCTCTTCTTGGCTGCTGGGTCTTGGTGTCCTCTGCTAAGAGCGTTTGCACTGTCATCAGAGGCTCGAGGAGGCCCTTCCAGCTCTGAGGTGCCGTGGCTTTTCCAGGCAGGGAGCCGTCCTAACCCCCCCCCCCCACCCCCCCACCCCAACACTGGCGTGGGGTTTTACAGGACCTGAAGGAAAGGAGTGAAGCTAAGAAGCAAAATCAGGGGAAATCTTTCAGTTTAATTGTGAAGCGCCGAGCCTCCCCAAATGTGTATTGTGTGAACTGACTTCCAATGAGCATTGTTCCTGATTGAGGGTCCACCTTGGCCCACAGATTCCACCATTACAGTGTAGTCCTAGTGATTGTGTAAGAATTCTTGCAGAAGGCTGTAGCAAACTGAATTGCTTTTCAGAATACTCTTTTTGTACTTCCCATGCTGGCTTCATGCCAAGAGAGATGGTGGCATTGGAAAACTGGAACCGGAACACGAGATCAAATCCTGGCTACTCTGCGCACAGAACAATTACTCAATCTCTCCAGCGGTTCTCGACCTGTGGGTTGCGACCCCTTTGGGGGTCAAACAACCCTTTCACGGGGGTCGCCTCAGACCATCGGAAAACACATATATAATTACATATTGTTTTTGTGATTAATCACTATGCTTTAATTATGTTCAATTTGTAACAATGAAAATACATCCTGCATATCAGATATGTACGATTCATAACAGTAGCAACATTACAGTGATGAAGTAGCAACGAAAATAATTTTATGGTTGGGGGTCACCACAACATGAGGAACTGTATTACAGGGCAGCGGCATTAGGAAGTTTGAGAACCACTGCTTTAGACTCTGTCTCCTCTGCAAGACTGCAGTGAGGCTAATGCTCACGTCCAGATCTCATGGGAAGACTGCTGTGAGCATCAGTGGAGTTGTTTCTACTGGAGGAGCAAACACTTCCGTTTCAGGAAACCTAGCTTTTTTGGGAGTATGGGCAAAGGAAACGGCAACCTCACTTGTCTGGGCCCTATGGCCAGTCAGTGGACTGCACTTCATGCATAAGGAACGGCTGTAGCTTCTTTTTTTTTTTTTTTTTAAATATATTTTATTGATTTTTTACAGAGAGGAAGGGAGAGAGATAGTTAGAAACATTGATCAGCTGCCTCCTGCACATCTCCTACTGGGGATGTGCCCACAACCCAGGTACATGCCCTTGACCGGAATCGAACCTGGGACCTTTCAGTCCGCAGGCCGACGCTCTATCCACTGAGCCAAACCGGTTTCGGCGGCTGTAGCTTCTTATAGATCCAACCAGCACTCTACTTTTCCCGAGGCTCCTCAGGGTTCCCGTAAAGGGAGCCCCTTGTCTGAATTGTCACTGGTCTGAAGAGGGGCCAGCAGCCGCTTGCAGGCAAAGACTTGTCACCTCTGGTCACTCCCTGGGTACTGCACACAGCTGCCGCCCCCCAGCAGTGTGAACGAGGATGCTGGGTGGGCAGTGAGAGCTTGGATATTTTATGGACCTTGTTTTCCAGTTACACATAACAATTCATTAAGCCTCGGAGGAGGAAGCTAAATTGCCGGCCTGGCAAAGGGTTGCACAGAAAAACCTAAAGTAAGAGGATGTATAAAAACCCTCCTTGCTCAGTTTGGGAGCTTGGGAGCTTGGCGTATTCTTCTTGATGCGCTGCTACCATCTGGCTTGGATTTTCTTCAGGCAAAAATAACTCCATGCTGATTTGAACCATTGGCGTATCTTTGATGCCGTTGTAGAACCATTCCAGCTACTTCTAAATAAATGGCGCATGAAAATGTGTGTTCACGCTCAGCGTAGGGCAGCAGTTCCAGAACTGTAAGCAGAATCTGCGAACTCTCCCCCAAAGGAGGCCTTATCCACAGAAAACCCCCTTTTCCCAAGCTGGCCAGGGCGGCTGAACTTTGGGGTAAAGAGCAGATGGGTTGGGGTCTGAGCGGCAGGGCAAGCGAGGGTTTTCTTGGCATGTTTGCTCTTCAGGTCTAGATTTTCGGTTTGTGAGAAGGTGCCATTCTCTCTCTGGTCCCTGGACGTGGAGGAAATCCTGCCCCAAGAAGCTGAGACATTTCAGCTCTTACTGTCTGATCAGCGAGCATCAAGGGAGTTGGTGAAAGGACTGCTGGGGTCCTCTTAGGGCTCCTCTGCCATTTTCTTGTCGTTTAGTTCTTTGAACATCTTTTCTTCTTTGTTTCCACCTGCCAGGCAAATTGTAAAGTATCCCTACACCTTCGTTTGAGCTAGAACTGGCCTCAAGGTGGCGCCTCAGCACAGAGAATGGCAGTGGCCGGCGTCACGGGCCACCATGTCTTGGGGATCTCATTATATAAGGGAATTCACGGCTTCTCATGGGGGGGGGGGGGGGGAGACTGGCCTTTGTCACTTCAATGGGACAATGGGAAGAGGTCAGGGGTCGGTGCGGGGCTGCACAAGCACTTAGTTCCAAGCAGCTTAACACGGGTTCAGGCTCCTGCCACCACCGAGCCCAGAGCAGCGTGGCCAGGGCAGCGAGGTGTGGGCC